ACCAAGACTGCTTGTTTTTGGATGGCACCACCCACCGTGGGCTGTGTCCTCCCTCATCAGTCCTTAATCAAAAAGATGCCCGACAGGTTTGCCCACAGGCCAATCTGATGGGAGCATTCTCTCAGTTGAGGTTCCTTCTTCTGAGGTGACCCTAGTTGTGTCAAATTGTCAAAACACTGGGCAAAACCCACCAATTCATTGAGACCATGTAACATTAACCTTGCTTGGGATGGGCTCAGTAGGCTGGTACATGGGGCAATGGCCATCAGCTCTTGATTTGCTTTCATTTTCTGTCCAAATTTCATGAATAGAAAGAGAAAGGTACTGAGCATTGGTTCTACTTTAGACTGACCCTGGAGAGTCACGTATGGGAGTGATGTCACCCAGAGGAGGGTAACCATGATGTCTTGATAGCTCTTCCAGCACATAAGGCCTAGGCTTCAATGTGTGGACAACTAGGCTCCTCCAAAAGCCGGTCTTCCAAACTCTAAGACCGCTTCCTTTCAGCTAGGCTCTGGACGGTTTTCTTCATTTTTAAGCCAGAGCAGTAGAATAAGAAGTTGAAATCAAGCCATGCATGGTGGACACTGCTGTATAGGGGATGCTGTCTTCTCTCTTGGTTTCTCAGTACAGAATTTCAGAATAAGGAAGATGGATAATGAGTCTCTTAGCAGCAGCACTTTAACGACTGACGTTGTCTATCTGAGACCCTGTCGTCAAAAAAGAAAACTTTGCAAGCACAGATAATCATGTGAGCCACTTGCTGTGGTCTTTCATGGAAGCTAGGACCCTAGACGTGTGGCCTCTTCAGTTTGGTAACTAAGCTGCCTGTGTCCGCTGAGGCTGAGGAGGGACCTTCTATTCTCAGCCCACCCTCTCATCCCCTGGGCTTGGGCAGATGTCCCAGACCTGCAGCTCCCTCATAGACACCATCAGAGTCTCTCTGCTCGTAGGTGCCTGAGTCCTAGGGCCCCACCCCCTGCCTTCACATCTTCCTGCTTTTCTCCCTTAACTTCAATCAATGCATCAACTAAGAATTAGCATCCGGAGCAAATGTCCTGCTACATTTTTCCCCTCATGATGAGTCCTTGTACCTGTGAAGAGTCTAGCAAGCTGCCAAAGGCTCATTTGACTGAAGTTTGTGGTTAGTATTGATTTCAGCATGAGTTAATGGACCCCGTGGTGGGGGCAGGGAGGCTAAGGCAGAGGATGCCTGGGAAAGGACCACAAAGAGGGATGCAGCTCTGAACTGGGACACACCCACATCTTTGCCGTGCCGTCGGATGACTTGCCAGTGGCATTGTAGGTTGGTTAATGACATTAACAGCCTCTCCCCATACCATGTAGGTGGCGCATGCCCACCTTCTTGAGACAGTCCACTGTGTCCCACCATGATCTCCACCCTCACTGTGAAGGTAGCACACGCCCACCTACCTAGGATAGTCCACTGTGCCCCCCATGGGGCCATTCGTCACTGTCATGCAGGGATGTAGTTTCTGCCAGGCTGGAGCAATGGTGAGGTGGTGATGGGAGGAAAGAGATAACCGGATGTCCCACTCAGCCTTCTTGTTTGTCCTCTTCCTCCTTCTCATCCCTGAGTCCAAACAGAAGCTGGGGGTGGTGGTGGTGCAGTCCCTTCTCCTCACAGCAATGCTCCTTTAAGACAGCTCCACCAGGCAGTGAGAGTCGTGAATCCCTAGCTGGAGCACAGTCACTACAAGTCACGTTCCCTGGCCACGGCTGTTGATGGAGATTGCCTCTGGCAGCCCAGAAATTAGTTACCGAAGTCATTGTGGGGTCCAGGCCTCTGCCTCTAGCCGTCACTTTTTCTAGTTCCACTCAAACCCATTGCTTATTTATTTCCCATTATCGCTGATTTCACATCTTCATTCAGACCTGCCTGCCCACTTCCTAGCAGCAGCACCTGGGAAAGGCCTATGGGAGAAAAGGAGTAATCACCGCCCTGTCGATGCACATCTGGATTCCAGAGTCCAGAAATCCGTAGAGGCCAAGGGACCCTTCAGTCATCCCACTGTGGTGTGTCCAGGCTCTTCCAGGGTAGTAGTGGCGGTGGGGACTATTGCAACCCTGTATTCCCTGGAGGCTATTTTGCTTTCTATTCAGTGTGGTGGTTCAGGCTGGCACCGCACACAGAACTGGCTGTCAGGCAGGGTTCCATTGATTGATGGATTGAATAAGCCCTCAGCCGTCTTGGGGGCAGCGTTCTATATTTTGTTAGGAGCGTTTGTTTAGAAGAGTGCTCATCAAATTTTAATAAGTGTATGCATCACTTAGGAACTTGTTAAAATGCAGTCTGTAGTCAGGTTTAGGGAGGGGCCTGTGCCAGCATTTCTAGTACATTCTGAGGAGACAGCTGCTCCTGTTCCAGGAGTGACATTGTGAGCAGTGAGACTAGATCACAGCCAGTGTGGGGCCTTTTGGGCATTAGCAGTTCACTCAATCACGCCATGTTGGGCTAGGTGTCACAAGGGGGACCAAAGGATACTTCTCATCCTACAGATGAGAATACTGAGTCTTGGTGGTTACTGTGTTCCTTAAGAGGCTGTTCTTTGCCTGCTGTGGACAAAACTTTCAACTCTACCAAATCTCAGTAGTTTCCAAATAACCAATAAGAACTTCCATTATATTTTAATGTATGTATATATATATACATATACATAACACATACATATTTGTGTATGTGTATAGGATTGCATGAATGCATATAGATTGTGTATATGTATGCATATTTATATATATTTGTATGTATATATACTTATATGCATTATGTATGTGGGTATGCATGCATGTGTTTGTATGTGTATGGCTATGTTCTTGTGTGCCTGGAGGCCCGAGGTCAGCACCAGGTATCTTCCTCTCCACCCTTTGGTTGAGACAGCCACTCTCTCACTGAACCCTGAAGCTGGCTGATATGACTGGAATGACTGGCCAGTGATCCCCAGGAATCTTCCACTTTCCCAGTGTTTAGATGAGCATACGCTACCAGACCTGGCTTTTTACATCGGTGCTGGGGATCCAAATTTAGGTCCTCACGCTTCTGCTATGGATACTTAACACACTGAGCCATCTCTCCATCATAGTGGCTCTCCTTTCGTAGCCGCTGTCTGCCCATTCTTAACCACTCTCCTCTGGTGATACTTCTTGTCAGGCAAAAGAAGTCTTTTCTAGACCTGAACCAGAGAGAATTTGGCTCTTTTCTTTCTGTGGATGACACATTTGTATGACAGGGAAAGAAACTGACCGTGGCTAATTTCCCACCAGGGGCAGGGGGAGATGTCTGTGTGTGCACTCACACACGTAGACTATGGATTCAGTTTTGAAGTAAGTTCCCCTCTACAGCTGAAGCTTTCAGTGTCTTCTGATTGCCTCCCCAATGCAGCAGGGAGACATTATGGGGCTGTTATCATAGGGGCCCATCTGCTTTACCTCAGCTTTTTATTCATGGCTCATTGCTTCTCTCTTCTGGGGAGTCATTTTTGGTCGGTTAGCCCATAGTATAGACAGAGTACTTATTGAGGGAATGAACCCCAAGGAAAGCTGAAATGAGTCCATGTCTGGATTAAATATGAGTACCTTTCAGGTGGCCCTCCAGTCAGTGGGGTGCACCAAAAGAATGGATTCAGTTGCTTTCAAAAGTCAGATCAATCTGCTGAGAAAGCCTGGGCTGCATGCCTTCTGTCTGGGACACACTTGGGAAGCCAGGCATACCTGTGCTTTCTGGGAAAGGGTAGAACCTACCCAGGCTAATATGAGGGCCTAGGTAGAGCTTCATCAGCTAAGAGAGAAACAATGGGGACCAGAGTCTCCTATGCTGGCTAGTCTCATGGCAGCTTGACACAAGCTGGAGTCCTCTGAGAGGAGGGAGCGTCAGCTGAGAAAATTCCCCACCCACCAATGTCCAGCTGTGTTGAGCAGCATTTGTTTTTTTTTCTGATAAACAATTTAAATTTGTTTTTATACTTTTTTATTTAAAAGTTTTATTCTATTTTACACACCAACCACAGTTGAATAGAATACAAATATATCATATATAAATACATACATATTTGTGGTTTAAAACCCTTAATATAGATCTATACATCTGTAGCCACAATGTTAATGAAGTATATTATAAGACAGCAGGTTGATCATAAGTTATTTATTTAAAATGTGTGCCTGTGTACATTTGTATATGTGCATGCACATGTGTTTGCATATGTTTGAGCTTATATATGCATGAATGTGTACTCACATATATGGGTATATGTGTGTCTGTGTGTATTTGCATGTATGTGTGATTGTATATATTTAGGTGTGTATGTGTGGGTGTGTTTATATATGTGAGTACTTGTGCACTTATGTACATGTGTGCTTGCATATCTGTCCTTGTATATGTGTGCACATATGGGCAAATCTGTAAAGCAGAATATTTAGAAGGCAGTTCCTTCACACTGAGTGTGGTTATTGCTAGCGGTAGACACCAGGGTGATTTTATTAGCTTTTTAGAGTTTGCCTTATTTAAGGGCCCCACAGCACATTTTAATTTTAAAACTAAGCAAAATTAAAACAAAGACCAGTTAAATCACAGTTCTGACACAGTGAGAGTCTCCTCAGGGGTGGAAACCACAGGATTCACCCTCCTTTGCATCTACTGTTGGCCTCAGCCTGTTCATGCCTAGGCCGTTTCAGGAACCTGGTCTCCTGCCCACTCCATTTCAGGGACCAGTTTTCTTGCCTCCCTGGAAACTGGGGTTCAGCTCCAGGTAGCTTCTGTTCCTCGACTCCCTAGAAAATCCGCTTCCCTGGCCAGTGGCTTCTGCTCCTCTGGAGTTGCACCTGTGCTTTGGGGTGTTAAGCAGATTCCCCACACTGATAATCTCAGTATTTCTAAAGAAAAATGGGTCATTTGGAACAGTGTTGACCTCGCTACATAGTGACTGGGAAGTTTCTCCCCCTTGGACACTCTTTCCCTTGTCATCAGTGACTTGATGTTTCCACAGGGCTCTGTTAATGGTTGGTCATCACTTGTGAACTCAGTGAAAGAAGGATCAGAGAATTGTTGGTTGTCCCTGTCACTGGTTTCTACAGAGGGACACGGAAGCTGTTTCCACAGTGCCATCCGCAAATATTAAAAGGTGGAAAAGCCAATGTCATCTCAGAATGAAGGAGAGTCGGTGCTAACATACCTGTGATGTTTGTCAAGGGGTCACCGGCTTTATTCCATACCCTGGCCTGCTCTGGGTAAGAATGTTCCTGATTTCAAAAGGTGAGTTCGTTATTACCATGGGAGTCATGAGCATGGAAGCAGAGCCTGTCAGGAGTTGTGGTTTCATCAGAGCAGCCTTGAGGGATTATCCAGATCAGAACCACTTAGCTGAGTCCCAGTGATCATTACCTTCACATTGGTCCCAGTTTTCCCTATAGAACTGGTTGACATTTTTCTTTTCTTTTCGCATATATTCTTTCTTCCTTCTTCCTTTCTTCCTTCATTTTTTTGAGTTTGTGTGTGTATAAATGCATGCATGTTTATGATGTGTGCCCCAACACATACGTGGAGGTCAGAGGACAATCCTGGGTGTCCCTCTTTCTCTACTTTGCTTTTGTGACAATGTCTCTCTTATTGCAGCATATGCAAGGCTAGCCCATGCGCTCTGAGGATCTTGCCTCTGCCTCCTGTCTCCCTGCAGGAGTGCACAAGCTACTGTTCCTGACTTAGGTGGGTTCTGGGGATTTGAACTCAGGTGGCCAGGACTCACTCATGGAGCCATATCTCAGCACCTTATCATGTTTCATCTCACATTCTCACTCAAGAGGAACTTTCAAATATTCGATGTGACTATTTCATTTGAATTTCTGAAAAGAGAAGTTTTCCTTTATTTTCCATCCTGAGATCAAGTTGGAGGACAATAACTAATGAGTTTAATCCGAGGCCTCCTATTAGACAACAAAAATGTCTGCAGAGATAAATGACCTTGGTACATCTTGGACTCTGCAAGCAGCAGCGAGTGCTCTAAGAGGGGAAAGGTTCTCATATTTTTATTGCTGCCCAAATGCCTGTGTTGTTGCTGATGGCTTTGGCTGTCTGGGGGAATGTTGCTCTTTGCCTTAGTTAAAAGACAGGCTGGAAGCCAAAGGCTCCCATTGGTAGGTAAAAGTTCTTCTGAAGAAGTTTGAAATATACGGGAGCTTTGTGTTGTGGAATATTCACCAGACAAAGATGTGTTACATTTGTTTCTGCTGCAGACTATTACTTTAACTATGTAAAGGTGTGTTACATTTGTTTCTGCTGCAGACTATTACTTTAACTATGTAAAGGTGTGTTACATTTGTTTCTGCTGCTTTGGTTAATGATGTAAAGATGTGTTGCTGTTTCGCTTTGCCTGCCTAAGGCACCTGATTTGTCTCAGCCCCCTCTCCAGCACCATGTCTGCCTGCACAGTGCCATGCTTCCCACCATGGTGATGACGGACTGAACCTCTGAACTGTAAGCCAGCCCCAGTTAAATGTTTCCTTTATAGGAGTTGCCATGGTCACAGTGTCTCTTCACAGCAATAGGACATTGACTAAGACAACCAGTTAATCGCAGATGAGAGGAGAACTATAAGCCCAAAGCACACTTTCCTCTTTATAAATTATGTTATCTGAGGTGTTTATTGTTGGGGAAGACAGGACTCATTTCAGCTTTACTTCCAGATAATGGTCTATCACTGAGGAAATCAGGGCAGGAACTGGAGCAGAAGAACCTGGGGAGGACCATTTACTGGCTTGTTCTTTCTGGCTCACTGGGTCACGCCCAGCCAACTTTCCTATATAACATGGGACCACATGTATTGCCTAAGGGTAGCACTGTCCACAGTGGGATGAACCCTCACACATCAATCAACAATCAAGGCTCTATCTCACGGAAATAGCCACAGGCCAATCTAACCTGGCAGTCCCTCAGTTGAGGCTCCTTCTTCCCGGGTGACTCTTGGTTGTGTTACGGTGTCAATAAAAACAAATCAGGACAATGCCTTTTTGTCAGACAACAACCCCCCCCCAAAAAAAAACTCTGAAAGGTGTAGCAGGGGTAGTAAGTCCTAGAGTTGAACATTTGTAATAAGCTCGAATCCTCCTTTGAAGCATTTATTAGAGCAGTAATTACATGGTTATTTAGCAATTATTTGTTTAATTCATGCCTACTTTCCTAGGCTGTGGTTTAAAGGACCAAGGCTGTGTAAATTGGAGGGGAGAAGGGGTGGTGGGGAGTGCAGAAAGGAAGTTGTGTGTTTCCCTGGTGATGGGTAAGGTGGGTTACACACTGTCTCATGTGTTCAGAGGATCTATCAGACAAGGAGACAGTTGCAAATAGCCCCAAACAGAAGCCTGTTGGCTCTGACGGTTTTAGGTAAACCTTCTGTGGCCTGGGATGTCTGAAGTGACAACTCTGACAAAAGGATGACAGAAAGAAGGGGAGAAAGACACCAGTGACAGACAGGGGGCTCTCTAAGTCTAAGCCCAGCATGAAAAGACTTCCCTGTGTAGAGGCTCTGACATTTCATCTCAAAGTGACTCTTAGTCACAGAATGGAAGTGTGACATGGAGAATCCCAAAGCCTCCAGGGGGACCTAGGGTGTTACTCATGGAAATATTTCCCTCTGTTTCTTATGGCAAAATACATCCAACAGAGAATTTCCAATGTCACTATCTTTTAGTGTTTTTAAGAGCTATTAAATGTATTAAAATGTGGTATAACCATTGCAACTTTGGGGAGTCAGCTCTCTCCCTCTACAGTGGTCCTCAGGCTTAGCAGCACAACTTTTTTTTTTTTAAATCACTCATCCATTTCCCAAGTCCTTGCCTACAATATATCTTCTGAGAAGTCTTTTAGCCTAATTGAGAGTCCCCTCTTTATGATGTGCTGTTTCTTTCTTGCAGATTTCAAGGTTCTTTCTTTGTATCATGTGTTCTCTATCTTCTTATATTTATTTATATTATATTTGGGAAAGGCAAATTCTTGTGAAAATTATATTAAGTATGCTATTAAAGAAGTTATTGAACCCAAGACAGCAAACAAGAAGTGGAGGGGGAATGTGAATGATTTTGGAAGAAATAGCGAGAAGTTTTAAGTGTCAGTTTCGGAATCGAGATACCTGGGTTTAGTGTCTTCTTCTATCACTTAATGCTGGTTTGAACTATTTCTGCATCTGTAAGATGGCTCTGATAATGGCACCTATGGAAATACATTGAAATGTAGTGGGGATAAATAAGACAACATGTATTAATTAGAGTAATCTGATGAACCACTAGATACCACTCAGTGAATGCTTTAATATAGCAGACAAAAAGTTATTATAACTGATGAACGGAAGACAAAAATGGCAGTTGGGGTTTGTTGTCTGAGATTTTCTGTTCTGCCCTGTTCCCGCAGTCAAACAGAGCTCTACATTAGTTATAAACTGATTGGCCCATTAGCTCAGGCTTCTTATTAACTCTTATAATGTATATTAGCCCATTATTCTTATCTATGTTAGCCACATGGCTCAGTACCTTTTTCGGTGAGGCAGTCACATCTTTCTTCTTCTGTGGATGGGTCACGATTGCAGACAGAGCTTCCTGTTCCCAGAATTCTCTGTTCTCATTGACCCGTCTCTACTTCTTGTCTAGCTGTCCCACCTCTGCTTCCTGTTTAGTTGTCCCGCCTATACTCACTCCCTGGCTACTAACCAATCAGTGTTTTTTTAAAATATAATTGACAGAATATAGGCATTTGTCCCACACCAGAGCTTGCTAATAACCCTCAGAATAGCTGAAAATGAATATATATTCATATATATATATTAAGCATCCGTGTGTGTGTGTGTGTGTGTGTGTGTGTGTGTGTGTGTAAGTCAGAGGGCAACCTCAGGTTTCACATTTCATCCTGTTTACACAAGGGTTGCTGTTATTTACTGTGATGGGCACCACACTATCTGGTCTGTGAGTTTCCAGGGATTTCCTGTTTCTACTTTCATCTCACTGTCAAAGCAGTGGGATTGCAGACGTTAATCACCTTGTCTGGGAATAAAACTCAGATCCTTACGATAGTGCAGAGTGCTCTGCCCACTGCACCATCTCCAGCCTCCAAAGCATCCATCTCCCAGCCTCCCAAGCATCCATCTCCCAACCTCCAAAGCATCCTTTTTCCCCCTAACAGATTCTGGCCTGGAACCCAGAGTTGAGAGCTGGAGTGTGGACAGCCACTTGTAGATGATTCTCTGATTATGTTGTGGCTCCCTAATGGAAAGTGTTTTATCTTCTAGGATGACATTAGAATGAAAATACTTTAAGTGTAAAGAGGAACCCGAGCCTCAGTCCAGGGTCTTCATGATGGAGGCAACCTGGAAAGAGAAGAATCCAAGAAGGCAGTGAAAGGAAGCACAAAATGCAGACTCAAAACTGTTAAGAATTGATAAAAAACAATGCAAAACCATATAAGTTTACTTTAAAACACAATTTCTGTGTATGTCATCATCAGTTCTTCTAGCCCTTTTCATCAAATAGCCCGTGATTATCTGCAGATAAAACACACGTGATCGCAACACTTTCCCAGCATCTGAAATCCGGCATGAGTTTGTCTTTTAGAGATGGCGGAGTCCCTTCCACCAGTATTTGGCAGTCGTTGTTGGATGAGGCAATCCTCCCTGGACCCTGAGCGTGCTTATATGTTCTGGCTGAAAATTTCCAGAATGCAAGGCTTTGACCATGCTTTCATGGGTCATTGCTCAAAGTCATGTTTCAAGTGAGCAACCATGAAAAATGAAGTAATGATTTTCTTTGGAACTTAGTGTGGCCTAGCTGTAGAGAAGTCAGAACTCCCACCCCCACCGCCTCTTGATTGCATTGTGTGTCATGCAGCACTGACCTGGGTGGCTTCATGTTGCTCCCAAGGGAATTAGAGGTGGGGAGATAAAGGGAACCAACACAAACATTAGCTCATTCTGTTTGCTGAGCCTTGAATAATAACTTTGAATTTCTGTGGTCTAGAATCTTCTGTCTTTTGTCAGCACTCATGAAACAGTACAAAGCCAACTTGTTGGCTTCTAAGTGGGACAAGATTTCCAGACACTAGCATAGCATGCTTGCTGTAGGAATCCTGTCTCTTTAGGATAAAGAAAAGGAAAGTTAATGAAGAACATAGCTGAACAAGCTATATCTTTGGTGGATCTTAAGAGACCCAATACCTACCCCGGTATGGGCAACTGAACACTGTGATTCTGGAGGAGCGTATTAAGAATCTGGGCTGGA